AATCGGACACCAAAACAAATAAAATTTTCAAAGAAACTTTAAAACTTTTAATTTAGCAATCGGACGTCCGAATCATGTCAAATCAATTTTATTTTACACCAAATTTTACAGACAAGTCATAAATAGCTAAATGAACCTATACCGAGTTCCAGAACCGAAATCTGAATCCGGTAGTAACAAATTCAACCTATGGTCAAACTTAGGAATTCTTTAAATCTTCAATTTACTAGTTTTTAATAGAACACGTTAAATCAAGTTAGGGACTTCCGAATTCGATTTCGGACATACGCCCAAGTTTTAAATTATGATACGGACCCACCAGGACCGTCAAAATACAGATCCGGGTCCGTTTATACAAAATATTGACCGTAATCAACTTAAATTAGTTTTAAGGCAAAATTTACATTGTCTTAAATTTTCCACATAAAAACTTTCTGAAAAAAGATAAGGAGTATGCACACAAATCGAGGAAGTCTAACGAAGCTATTCGAGGTCTCGGAACACAGAAATAAAGGCTAAAACTGAAAATGACCTATCGGGTCATCACAATCTATCACGTAGCACATCATCATTATTATTATCATTACTATTATTATTATTATTTACTTTAAAATAATAAAAATAATTTAGTCCTTACTTAAAGGGGAGAATTTATTTGAGAGGCAAAATTCCTCGTCATTCTAATCTTGAACATCTAATATAATATATATTTTAAAAATCTAATATAATTAATTCACATGGGAAAGTTTCAGTAATCGATCACAATAACTTAAGTAAATGTATTTTATAGTCAAATCTCCCCTCTCTTTTCTTTCTCATGTCCTTAGAATTAAGGCCTCAACACATGGAGAAGTTCAATTGCTTTTCACCACTTTGATTTGGGATCCTTAATATTCTCCGAGAAAATATTTTCTTGGGGTTGATAAAAGTTGATAAAGATCTCAGTGGGTTTGTTGGATTGGATTGTATTGATGTTTTCTATGTTGATTCCAGCCTTGAAGTTTATAAGTACCACAATACTCTATTACTTCCAATTTAGATAAGATAACTTAGATTCGTCAAAGTTTAAAAAAAATAAGAAAATTTTTAAAATTTGTGGGGTAATGACATTTTATGTGGTTATAAAAACTTCTCATTAAGGATAAAATGGAAAAAATAAAAAGTTTAAAGTTGAATTATTTTCAAATTTAGAAATGTAAAAAAGAAAGTAAATCATCTAATTTGAAACGGAGGGAGTATTATTAACGTAATTTCCCCAGATATATGTTATGTCCCTTTACTTATGACCAACCGTGCAATCAGCACCCTTAGAATTTGGGTTTAGGTGTTAATTAATGTGTGTTTGGTACGAAGGAAGATATTTTTCACTTTTCCCATGTTTGGTTGACTTAAATGTATTGAAAAATATTCTTTTCATCAACTCATTTTTCTCAAATTAGAGGAAAATGTTTTCCCTATCAAGAGAAGGAAAAATATTTTCCAAAATACTTTTTTAACTTTCCCCACCCTATTTCCCATCCCCACCAACCC